TTGGGGCTGAGCTGGGGGAGTGGTCGGGATGTCCGTGTGTCCCTGATGTCCCCGTGTCCCTGGGCTGTCCCTGATGGCCCTGCTGTCCCCAGGTCACCCGTCCTGCCTGCAGTTCACGCCGGTGATGATGGCAGCAGTGAAGACGTACCGCTGGCAGTGCATCGAGTGCAAGTGCTGCAACATCTGCGGCACCTCCGAGAACGATGTGAGTGCCAGAAATCACCTGGGGGAGCCAAAAATCACCTGGGAATGTCCCAAAATCACCTGGGATTGCCCCAAAGTTATCTGGGAGCGCCCCAAAACCCACCTGGAACCTGGGAATGCCCCAAATCCACCTGTGAACGCCCCAGAATTCCCACTGGAAGCTCTTATGTGGGAGAAATCCTCGGGGTTTAGGAGTCCATATGACCCTGGCAAGACTTCTTTTGGGGACAAACCTTTGGAATTTGGTAACCTGCAGGATCCCATTTGGGGAGAAAGCCTTGGGCTTTTAATCATCCCTAAAAATCTTCCTGCAGGAAACTTCTTGGAAAACAGGGAGGACAATTTTGGTTGTGGGATGTGGGGAGGGACACGGGTGTGGGAATTTGGGGAGTGGGATGATGGGAATGTCCCCGGGGCAGGACCAGCTGCTGTTCTGTGACGACTGCGACCGCGGGTACCACATGTACTGCCTGACCCCGCCCATGGCCGAGCCCCCCGAGGGTGAGTCCGGCCCTTCCCGGCCCCGGGGATTCCTGATATTGGGGGATTCCACCCCAAAACCTCCCCTGGGATTCCTGATCCCGAGGGATTCCACCCCAAAACCTCCCCTGGGATTCCTGATCCTGGGGGATTCCACCCCAAAACCTCCCCTGGGATTCCTGATCCTGGGGGATTCCATCCCAAAATCTCTCCTGGGATTCCTCATCCTGGGGGATTCCATCCCAAAACCTCTCCTGGGATTCCTGATCCTGGGGGATCCCACCCCCAAAATCTCCCCTGGGCTGGGAAACCTCGGGATCCTTCCTGGATTTCCTTCTGGAATGTGGGGAGGGGTTTTATTGTCCCAAGTCCTCTTTTTCCTCCTTTTCTTCCTCCTTTTCTTCCTCCTCTTCCTCTTCTTTCATTCTCCTTTTCCTCCTCCTCCCTCCGTTCTTCTCCCTCTTCATCCTCCTCTCCATCCTCTTCCTCCTTTCCTTCTCTCCTCTTCCTCCTCCTCTCCCTCCCCTCCCCACCTTCCCCCCCTCATTAACCCCGTGGTTCATTAATTCCCTGCCCTCCTGGGGAGGATGAGGAGGGGCTGAGGCCGAAGGCTGACCCCGTTTCCCCACAGGGAGCTGGAGCTGCCACCTCTGCCTGGACCTGCTCAAGGAGAAGGCGTCGATTTACCAGAACCAGAACAGCTCCTGATCCTGCTCTTCCTCCTCCTCCTCCTCCTCCTCCTCACCCCTCGGCTCTGGGGCCTTTATTCCCCCTTTTCTGGGTCATTTTCCTTCCTTTCTTGTTTGGTTTT